TCCATCTTATCTCCAGTAATACGTCTATTGTGCAAAACTATTAGTGGCCACTTTTTTGAAGGAAGCATCTGACGAATTCCATTGACGACAGCATTGACCTGTATGCAAATTGTCTATTAGAAAAAGCAAAAGACCTGAGCTTTTGAAAAATATCATGTTTCATTAACAAAGCACCCAATACTTTACCTTAGATGGCCTAAACTTTCTTTGGCTGTAAAGACCAACATTTGCACCATCAATAACAGCTTCAAATGGTCCATAGTAATCAAGCCATCTCTGCAGTCATCAAAATATGTTTCACCCTCATAAGAGGTACTAATGATCCAAGAACAACTAACTAATCATCAGAGCAGTTAGTAAAACGTACTTGAAATTTCTGGAAGCTCGAATTTCTCTCTCTCTGCGCAGCTATAGAAGCAACTGACTTGGCAAACTTTTCAGTTTCTTCGGGATCAAGATCAATGGTGACGAGCTTCTCAGCACAGCATTTGCAGCAGCCATCAGAGCCAACGATTGCACGTGATACAGTCCATTTTCCAATACCCAACCAGCCTTGTCCATGCCAGCCACCACCTCCATTTTTAATAGCTTTGTGTATGGATCTTACATCCCATTTTCTTTTTCCCACCCTTGAAGCTACCTTGCTGTTGAACCACTTGTCAATCAAATCTGCAGTAGAAGGTGAGACTTGTCGAATTCCTTCTCTAAGCTTATGCAACAAATAGTACACCTTTTCACTCCTACCAGCGTCTATACTTACTTTTAGAAGTGCCTCCAGTTCAGGTTCCTCTGGATAGATACCATTCTCCAACATGTGTTGTTCAACTATAAATGCCTTGTCGACATCCCCGTTATTGCAGAAAACAGATAAGGAAGGACCATACGATCGTAGTTTGGGGTTTATTCCATCTTCTTTCATTTTCTTTACAACATGAAATGCCATGTCACCATTGCCTAATGCCATTGCCATTCTTGCAACAGATGTAAGGGTTGCTTCATTCATTTGTACCTTATCTGAGAGCATTTTCTCATAGATTTCAAAACCCCTTGTAAGTGCATAATGTCTTACATCTTCACTCACTTTAATTCCACTGTCATCATGTCTTACACTTTGTAAATTACAACTTTTTGCACTACTCTTCATAAATTGAACAAATTCATCTACAGTGGAAGAGCCCAACAAATGTGAATCATGGTCAATTACGTTAAACTCGTTGCTGTTATTATGAGAAGAAGGTTCATTGGGAGCATTCAAAGTCCTACTACCACTTCCACTTTTTGCTGGGTGAATGAGACCAGTAGCTGCAGAAGCACAAAGATAGAGAAGTACAGCATAGTGATACTGTCCCATTACTATTCCTTGTAGCAAGGCCAAATCATATAGCCTAATTGCACTAAGTACATCCCCTCTTTTTGAGCACATATCTAATCCAATCCTCAATGTAGAATCAATTTTACTCTTCTTTGACTCCACCGCCTTCTTATTATTAGTAGAAGAGGAAGAGGAAGATTCAGAGGTCCTTCTTTTAGGTTTCAATTTTGCATTTCTGTCTTTAAGAACAACTCTTTTGGCACCATTTTCCTGACCAGAATCAACTCTCTTATATTTGGGAGTAAAGGAGGAAAACCCAGAACCATTTTCGTTACTATTAGTTTTACTATCTCTTCTGGTGTGTGAAATTTCTTGCTCTGTTGTCTCCACGTGAGTGACATGAATGGAAGATGAAATTCTTGGTAGAGTAGTATGAAACTTGAAGGGGTTTAGTAGAATCGTTGAAGAATAGAGTTGGAGTTGGAATTGGAATTGAGTTGGTTGAAGGGGTTTGAAGGGGATGGAGGCCATGTGTGGCCGTTAGTGAAGCTCTCTCTATATTATATTAGGATTAGGACACATGACCATCTTCACAACAGGATAAGAGTGCCTACACTCTTTTTACATTGAGTTGCTCTTTTTCCCAAAATAACAAAAAGAGGACAAGAAAATAATTAAGGGAAATCTATGTTATCAAAACACCACGAAATATAATATACTACTCCCTCCGTCTTATTTTATATGAGTTGATTTGACTTGTTACGGAGTATTTAAATTTTGCGGTTTAAAATAAGTGATAGATTTTTTAGTGACTATGTCTGGCACTATGGTGGCACGCCGCCCCACTGATGCCCCGATGAAAATCCCAAATTTTAGGATTTCAAATCCAAGAAGGAAAAGAGATTATTTCCTTAACCCTATAAATAGAAAATTATGTCTCTTTCATTGGGTTCTGTTTTTTTTCAAGTGCAAGAGCAAAGGAATAGAATTCACCTTAGGTTTCTTTTCTCCTACTTTTTCTTAGTCATTGATTTGGATGAAAACAATTATCTTTATATTTTTTTATTAGCATGAGTAGCTAAGAACCCCTGTTCTGGGGGCTCCGACTACGAATGATTGTTGACTATTTATTTTATGGATGAAGTTGGTTATCACTTAAATTACTCTTGTGTTCTTGTATTACTATTTTGATGCTTGATAGCCATTAGAATAAATTTATTATCTTCTCTTGAACTCGGGAGATGAATAGAGGGATAGAGCGTGGAATACAAAGAGCATGATCTTTTTTTGCATATCACTAGAATTTATTTGTATTCAGGATGGGGATGTACCTAGGTGTCGTTCTTGGTTAAGAAATAAGAAGATAGCTTAATCATAGGCGGATCCAGGATTTCGAGTCTCTGGGTGCCAAGTAGGTTCATCGGTTAACTCAGTTTTAGGCTTCAGTTGAATTATTCGTCTTATCGGTCTATGACAAATATGAACAATAATAAGATGACAATTTATGTATTATATATTCTACAAATTCTTTGCGCATGGGTCATGCTAATCTTCTCCGCATTGTTTCAATTTTATCAGATGTCTCCAACGAAGCAAAAGTTTATCGTTTTAATTTAGATGCTCTTGTTGAAAGTCGAATTCAAGACCGACAACGGAAGATTTTTTCTCACATGGAAAAAATCACTTTAGCTCAATTGGTTGACTATTTGAACTCTCACCTTACCATTTTCCCTTCCCTTCCCTACCTCCATATATAAATACAAATTTGCACCCCACATTTGATTGAGATCGTAAAGTAAACAAAGTTAAAACTTTCAATTATACAATAAATATCATAAATATTCATCATTCATTTATAATTGTACTCGACAAGTTTTCATATTTTGAAAACGATCAATGACGATATCATTGCTTATATTTACAAATAGATCATTATTTATGTAACATGCTAGTCAAATATACTTATAAATTACTACTCCATATTAAGACAACTATTAGAAACAAGCAAAAAAAAAAAAATGTGTCGCGGTCATATTAAGGAAGTAAGTTAAAATTGAAAATTAAAAAACTGCCAGTGCCTCAGCGAGCAAGTTAAAATTGCAAATTAAAAAATTGTCAGGGCCTCAGCGAGCAAGTTAAAATTGCAAATTAAAAAACGGTCAAGGCCTCAGCGAGATTCGACCTCGTGACCTCCGTTTTAGAATATGACCCTTAGCCAGCCGCGCCACAAGGCCTTTTGGTTCCTTGGATGGCACGTTTAATATTTGTAATTATATTATAGATATATACCTATATATACTAGAGTTTCCGTCGAAGCCCGTGGGTGGCGTGGCACCCCTACGAACTTTAGTAGATCCGCCCTTGAGCTTAATGCTCTACATTTGATTTAGTCTATCCTGCTCAATGATATAGTTAGACTATCAATTGGGGTAGGTGATTAGAGGTCGAGAGATCATGATCATAATATTAACCTTGTAGATCAGTAATTTGATAACCATCTGAAATCCATTGAAGAAATACGAAGCATGAATTCTTAGTTACGTTGCAGCCCTGTATTTTTTCCAATTATTGTTAACATCCAATTTGAAAGGAATCGTTGTTACTTATTATAAGTCTTAAATTCTTGCATTTATAGTTATAAATATAAACCAAACTTTTGTGGCACACTTGCATTAAAATGTGGGTATTAGATAAATTCGATTTAGAATAATCGTAAGTCCTTTAAAATAGATAATCTGGCTTTGTTAGATATACTATATTACTTACGCGACCACGTACACTTCCGAGTGAATTCCGGAGCAACAAGGTTTTTGCGCTGCTACCGGAGACTTTAGAATAAGTCTACATTTAATTTTTCCAAATCTATATATTCAGTGTTCAAGTGTTGATAACTTGATCTTAGTTGTTCCTCTTTGCAGGCAATTTAGAACATTGCATTGGATAAGAACAGAGAACTTGTGGAGCCATTTGCATAGCTTGAACGATATTTACATTATCGAAGAAGGAAAGTGACTCTGTAGTACCCTATTACTCAGTAGAACTGCTGAAGATGAAGCACATGTAAAGATGGCATCGATGATTGTTCGTGATGTGGCAATCCCACTCACCATTAATGATACTTTAAGCATTAAGAAACCACCACCTACCGTAGATTCAAGCTTAAACAAAACATGGTGCAACTGATACTCTACTGGGCAATTCACTAAATTCCCTTAGAAGATCTTCAAGTACACATTTGAAACTACTTGGAAATCAGTGACACTTACACTATAATTGGGGTGTTACACCGTGCTTGAGCACATGCCCAACATCTGATGATCATTGTCATGCCCCGAGCCTACACCCTGGGCGAGACTGGCACTCGGAGACCATTGTTGGCCAAAGGGAACCCTTGGCCTAGCTTACTTAACTCAACGGAAGACTTAACTCAACAAAATAAACTCATGTAATAGTTTAAAATGATAATATCTTAGCCAAATTGGCAACTTCTGTCTCAAAACAAAGTATCTGCAAATACATAGATGAGAGACTCATAACTAATTGTTTGACTGTCTATGAAGCCTCTATAATACTGAGATGGATATTGGGGCAGACCCCATAACATCCTAATAATGAAGGACTAAAAGTGAATAAAAGAGTCCTCCGGAATGCAAGGAGGCTCACCACTGACTCTGAGTGCTCAACTGGATCAACGAGGCGCTGGATGCTGATTCTGGTTACTGGTGTCTGCATCATAAGATGATGCAGGCCAACTGGCATAACTGCATTGAATGTACGAGTATGCGAGTTGGAATGCTAAACAACAACTTAAGCTTGACAAAAGTAAGAAGGAACACTTACCTTGGCTCTATACAACTCTTGAATAACTGAACTCATTATAAAGCAATAAGACACATGCAATATATATTATAAAGCTTGTAAAACAGTGTAAACAACTTAGTTCGTTAAAGATAAAGCAATAACAAACTCAACTTTACTTATATATATAAAAGTAATATAACTTTTGTGGGAGATTCTCTAACCGACAACCACCACTATGAGCCTAAGTGGTGATACAACTTCTTGCCCACGCTGCCAGAACTGTCCTATACTTTGCCGTCATATAGAACGCTTAACTTAGTGGATCCACTAGTCTATGCTAAAAGCATCTTAAGGAGTCATCTAAAAAGTATGATCCTTTACTACCTATGATGGCTACATGGTTTATGGGGACTTGAGTTAATATGAACTCGCATCCCCATATCGGTGTTCAATACTACTCTCAAAATATACTTAGCTCATATGTTTGTAAAAAGCTAAACTCTTTCTTTGAAATGAGGTAATTACTCAAAAACTTAGCTTACAAGCTCTCTCGGAAACGATGTTCCCTTTTCCTGCTAAAATGTGTAAAAACATTTACAAACTCTTTGGGAATACTTAGTTCCCTTATAGCTTTTTGAGAAATGGACTCAACTATTTACTCTTTGCTTAACTTCAAACTTGAGCTTTAAAACGAAGTTAAAACGTTTGTTAAAGACACTTGAAAACTTTAAGAAACTTTGCTTTGACTTGCTTCTTAACTTCTAGACTTGACTCTTAACTTTTTTGACTTTGATCATAACTTTCCTTGAATTGGATTATGGATTTGGTTCATGATCTCATGTTTATGGATGATTTCATGATGGTTAGATGTACCTTAGAATGTTAGAATCAACTAGGAAACATAGGTACATCACTTAGAAACTAGTACGAAAAGATGGGGAAAATGAGGTGAACTGGCGTCCTTGGCGCTCTGAGAGGCGTGGGGCGCTAGGCCCCAAACCTCAGATAACATGTTGGGGCGCGCTGGCTGGCGCGGCGCCCCACCCTTTTACCCAGAAAATTCTGACTTTTCTCATTCGTTTTCATCTCTAAACCATCCAATCTTCCCTAGTTCCTTTCCCAAACACTTAGGGTCATTAGTACTCTCAACTTACAACAGATCTAACTCAAAAATCCACTCGGAAACAGGAATCAAATCAACAAGAAACTTCAACAACACAACCAACCAAGAACTTAACGATATCCTTCAAGAACTTCACTTTTTAACATGTAAACAACTCAAAATTGTTGAATTGAACCCATCACTGAAAGATCTCACATACCTTAATAGGGATCACCCCCGACGAATTCCACTCCAAACGTTTGACGTTCTTGGCGAAATCTTGGCTTTTCTCCCTTTCTTTCTTCTTTTCTCTTTTCTCCAAGCTCTAAGCGTATTCTAATTTTCCAAAACTGAATTAAGTTCTGTTTTTACCCCCAATAAACCCCTAAAAATTAATTAGGAAATTAATTAGAGAAAAGACTACTTTGCCCTTCCCTAAATCCGGATTGGGACTTTCCTCAATCCAACAGCCCAACTTCCGAAAGGCATATCTCACTCATATGATGTCGAAATCGTGCAATCTCGGCGGCGTTGGAAAGATATCTCCAAGTAATTTCCAAACATATCAAGAGATGCTCCTAACTTCTCCTGATCTAGGAGTTACGGTCGTTTGAAAATGGCCAAAACTCACTTTCTTAACTAACACAAAATTTCCAGATTTCCTTATTCTTTCCAAAAAATCAATATTTTCATATTTTAAACTCTTAATAGTCGTTTCTAGGTGCGAGATGTTACAATATATCTCCCTTGGGAACATTCGTCCTCGAATGAACTTTATTTCACTAAGCTAAGGGTGGTAACATCTAGTTCAAACACCCGACAAATAAATGCAACAATCAACATGCTCATTCAAAATTCAAAGAGTACTAAGAAGAGAATTAGTACCTTGATTTGCATTCCCTCTGGATTCAAAGAGATATGGATATCTCTTCTTCATATCTTTTTCAGGTTCCCAAATAGCTTCCTCAACAAATTGGTTCCTCCAAAGAACTTTGACTGAAGCTACTTCTTTGGTCCTCAACTTGCAAACTTGGCGATCTAAAATCTGAACCGGAATCTCCTCATAAGATAAGTTATCCTTAATCCCAACATTTTCAGTTGGTATAATCAATGAAGGATCTCTCATGTACTTCTTCAACATGGAGATGTGAAACACCGGATGAACTACTGCTAACTCTTGAGGTAGCTTCAACTCATAAGTTACATTGCCAATCCTCTTGGCTATGCGATAAGGTCCAATATACCGGGGACTAAGCTTTCCCTTCTTACCAAACCTCATGACACCCTTCATGGGTGAAACCTTCAAATAAACCCAATCATCTACTTCGAACTCTAATGGCCTTCTCTTAACATCTGTGTAGGATTTTTGACGACTCTGTTCCTTTTTTAACCTCTCCTGAATCACATTCACCTTCTTCATGTCTTGGTGGACTAAATCTGGTCCTATCAACCCTGCTTCACCAACTTCGAACCATCCAATATGAGATATGCATCTTCTCCCATAAAGAGCTTCATATGGAGCCATTTGGATGCTAGAATGAAAACTGTTGTTGTAAGCAAACTCGATGAGAGGTAGGTGATCATCCCAATTTCCCTAGAAATCAATCACACAAACCCTCAACATATCTTCTAATGTCTGAATGGTGCACTTTGCTTGCCCATCTGTCTGGGGATGAAAGGCAGTACTCAAGTTCACCTTTGAACCCAAGCCTTTCTGGAATGACTTCCAAAACTGTGTAGTAAATTGTGCACCTCTATCTGAAATAATAGAGACCGAAACTCCATTAGGTCTCACCACCTCCTGAATGTACAACCGGGCATAATCTTCTGCCAAATGGGTAGTCTTTACCGGCAAAAAATGGTTGATTTTGTCATTCTGTCGACAATCACCCATATAAAATCATGTTGTCTGCGCGACCTTGGTAAGCCCGTGACGAAGTCCTTATTAATCATCTCCCACTTCCATTCTGGAAGTTCGATATTCTGCGCCAAACCACTAGGCATTTGGTGCTCAACTTTCACTTGCTGACAATTCAAACATTTGGCAACAAATTCAACAAAATCCTTCTTCATGCCATTCCACCAAAATACTTCTCTCAGATCGCGATACATCTTTGTGGAGCCCGAATTAATGGAATATCTGGAGCTATGAGCTTCCTTCATGATTCTCTCTTGGAGTCCATCCACCATAGGCACACATAATCTACCTTGATATCTCATACACCATCTCCTCCTTGTTCAAAAGCTAATACTTTTTGCTTATGAACATTTGCCTTTAAGTCTAGAAAAATGGGATCTTGGTCTTGCTTTCCTTTCACTTCTGATAGTGATGATTCAGCCCCATTTGTCACTACTATTCCTCCTTCTGTGGAATCCATCAGTCGGACTCCTAAGCGTGCAAGTCTATGCACATCTTTCGCTAACTCTCTATTTTCTTCATAAACATGGGCAGTACTACCCATAGACAACCTGCTCAAGGCATCAGCAACAACATTAGCCTTAACTGGGTGATAAAGAATACTCATGTCATAATCCTTGAGTAATTCTAACCACCTCTTTTGTCTGAGATTGAGCTCTTTCTGAGTGAACACATATTGCAAGCTCTTGTGATCAGTGTATATATCAACATGAATACCATACAAGTAGTGTCGCCAAATATTCAAGGCGAAAACTACAGCAGCCAACTCTAAGTCATAGGTTGGATAATTCTTCTCATGAACCTTCAACTATCTGGAGGCATAAGCTATCACCTTGCCATTCTGCATTAACACACAACCCAAACCAACCCTGAATGCATCACAATACACCACAAAACCTTGAGTACCCTCTGGTAAGGTCAAAACTGGGGCACTAGTCAACCTCTTCTTCAATTCCTAAAGGCTTTTCTCACAAGCTTCAGACCATTGAAACTTCGTTGTTTTTTTAGTCAACTTCATCAGAGGAGACGAAATGGATGAGAAACCCTCAAAAAATCTCCTATAATAGCCAGTCAAGCCCAAGAAACTCCTAATATCAGTTGGAGATGTGGGTCTAGGCCAATTCTGTACTACCTCAATTTTTTGAGTATCAACTCTAATACCATCACCAAAAATAATATGGCCCAAGAATGCCACAGACTCAAGACAAAATTCACACTTAGAGAACTTGGCACACAACTCTCTATCCTTCAAGGTCTGAAGAACTATTCTGAGATGACTAGCATGATCTTCTTCATTCCTTGAATGGATTAGTATGTCATCAATGAAGACGATAACAAACATATCTAAACAAGGTTTGAAGACTATGTTCATAAGATCCATGAACGTTGCTGGTGCATTGGTCAAACCAAAGGACATGACCAAGAAATCATAATGACCATATCTAGTCCTAAATGTTGTCTTTGGAATGTCGCATTCCCTAACTTTCAACTGATGGTAGCCTGATCTGAGATCAATTTTCAAAAAACAGGTGGCACCCTGAAGTTGATCAAATAAATCATCTATCCTTGGAAGAGGATATTTATTCTTGATGGTAACCTTATTTAATTGATGGTAATTTATACACATCCTAAGGGAACCATCTTTCTTTCTCACAAACAAGACCGGAGCGCCCCAAGGTGAGACACTTGGTCGAATGAAGCCCTTATCTAACAAATCTTTCAACTGCTCTTTCAATTCTGCTGGTGCCATTTTGTATGGCGGAATAGAGATATGATGAGTATATGGAATGATGTCTATACTGAAGTCTATTTCTTTCTCATGAGGGACTCCGGGTAGATCATCAGAGAAGACTTTCGAAAACTCTCTTACTATAGGAACTGACTGAATGGGAGGTACTTCAACACTTGAGTCATTAACTCGGACTAAGTGATAGATACATCCCTTTGAAACTAACTTTCTCGCCTTAAGGTACGAAATGAAACGACCCTTAGGCACTGTTGAACCACTACTCCACTCTATGACTGACTCATTAGGAATTTGAAACTTGACAACTCGAGTTCTACAATCTATTGATGCATAACATGCATGAAGCCAGTCCATACTTAGAATGACATCGAAATCTACCATGTCTAATTCAACTAAATCAGCCATGGTGTCTTTGCGATTGATGGAAATGACACAATCACGATAAACTTGCTCAGATATAATAGACTCTCCAACAGGTGTAGAAACACAGAAGGGTTCACAAAGTTTCTCAGGGATAACATCAAACTTATTTGCAACATAAGGGGTTACAAAAGATAAACTTGTTCCTGGGTCTAACAAAGCATAAACATCAAAAGTAAAGACTTTGATATACCAGTGACATCTGGAGAGTTCTCCTGCTCTTGGCGACTCATGATCGCATAGAGACGGTTTGTTCCTCCGCCCGTACCTGAAGTAGCTCCTCTAGGTGAAACTCTGCCTGGGGGAGCAACTGATGAAGATTGGGCCTTATTACCCTGATTTCCACTACCTGTTCTTTAGGCACTCTTTCAAGAAATGACCCTCTTGTCCACACTTGAAGCAACCTGTCTAGCCTTCACGACATTTACCTGGGTGGGTTCTACCATACTTAGCACATGTAGGAGCCCAATTACCTCATTGTGCCACATTACCTTGAGACTGTGCAGGTTTAGTTCTGAAGTTCTGTGAATTCTGGCCGTTATACTCACCTCTGTTTCTAGGGAAAGGTGCACTAGCAGATGATGGAGCAGGCCCCTTTTGCCTTTGCTGAAAGGACGAACGGTTCACATTACCTTTCTGTTGCTCAGACTCATTTCCTGTCTTAGCTTTCTTGTTTCTGAATTCTTCCATGTCCCTCAGTTTCTCTTCCTCCACTTGCTGCACATAAACCATTAACCTTGATATTTCCATGTCCTCGATAAGCATTGCAGCCCTTCCTTCCTTACTCGACAGACGAGATAACCCAGTAACAAACAAGTTCATTCTATTCCTCATGTCCGCAACTATTTTTGAAGCATAACGGGATAGTTGGTTGAACTTCAACACATATTCATGAACACTTAGAGAATCCTGCTTAAGTGTAAGGAACTCACGTACCTTAGCCTCTTTCAGTTCTCGAGGAAAGAAACGCCCCCAAAAGAGCCTCTTCAAAACATGCCCAACTCGCAAGTGGTGCATCCTCAGCTCTACACCCTTTCCACTAATTAAACCAAGTCCTAGCAACATTCTTCAGTTGATATGCAGCTAGCTCAACTCTCACAATATCAGTAACATGCATTACCTCGAACACCTTCTTCAGTTCCTCAATGAAGTTCTCTGGATCCTCTGCAGTGCTTGAACTAGTGAAACTTGGAGGGTTCATCCTCACTCACGAATCCTTGAAGTGTCAGCCTCTTCTTGTCGAGCTCGTCTTTGTTGCCCAACCTGGTTAGTCATCGCTTGGCTCAACATCCAGATAGCCTCACGGAACTCAGCATTAGTGACTTCTCCTTGCGGTTGGACTTCAGGTGCATTAGGTAACTCTTGTTCATCAACATTGCGTCCAGCAGGACGACCTCTGACTGCTCTTCGTGGAGGCATGATTATCTTAAACACGCGTAAGATTAGAGGGAAACTTTTATAGAGATTAACTCTATCCCATGAAATGAATGTGTAAGAAGTGAGATAGTTCCTAAATGTTGCAGCCTCCTAATTATAGATGTGACGCACTTCACACTGATAACTAGGACTCTACAGACACGGCTTCATAGACTCCCTAGCACTCTTGAACTTTGTGCTCTGATACCAAGTTTGTCACGCCCCGAGCCTACACCCTGGGCGAGACTGGCACTCGAAGACCATTGTTGGCCCCAAGCGAACCCTTGGCCTAGCTTACTTAACTTAGCGGAAGACTTAACTCAACAAAATAAACTCATGTAATAGTTTAAAATGATAACATCTTAGCCAAATTGGCAATTTCTGTCTCAAAACAAAGTATCTGCAAATTCATAGATGAGAGACTCATAATTAATTGTTTGACTGTCTATGAAGCCTCTATAATACTGAGATGGATGTTGGGACAAACCCCACAACATCCTAATAATGAAAGACTAAAAGCGAATAAAAGAGTCCTTCGAAATGCAAGGAGGCTCATCACTGACTCTGAGTGCTCAACTGGATCAACGAGGCACTGGATACTGATCCTTGTTACCTGCATCTGCATCATAAGACGATGCAGGACAATTGGCATCAGTACATTGAATGTACGAGTATGCGAGTTGGAATGCTAAACAACAACTTAAGCTTGAAAAGAGTAAGAAGGAACACTTACCTTGGCTCTGTACAACTCATGAATAATTGAACTCATTATAAAGCAATAAGACACATGCAATATATATATAGCTTGTAAAACAGTGTAAACAACTTAGTTCGTTAAATATAAAGCAATAACAAACTAAACTTTACTTATATATATAAAAGTAATATAACTTTTGTGGGAGATTCTCTAACCGACAACCACCACTATGAGCCTAAGTGGTGATACAACGTCTTGCCCAGGCTGCCATAACTGTCCTATACTTTGCCGTCATATAGAACGCTTAACTTAGTGGATCCAATAGTCTATGCTAAAAGCATCTTAAGGAGTCATCTAAAAAGTATGATCATTTACTACCCATGATGGCTACATGGTTTATGGAGACTTGAGTTAATATGAACTCGCATCCCCATATCGGTGCTCAATATTACTCCCAAAATATACTTAGCTCATATGTTTGTAAAAAGCAAAACTCTTTCTTTGAATTGAGGTAATTACTCAAAAATTTAACTTACAAGCTCTCTCGGAATCGATGTTCCCTTTTCCTGCTCAAATGTGTAAAAACATTTATAAACTCTTTGGGAATACTTAGTTCCCTTATAGCTTTTTGAGAAATGGACTCAACTCTTTACTCTTTGCTTAACTTCAAACTTGAGCTTTAAAACGAAGTTAAAACGTTTGTTAAATACTCTTGAAAACTTTAAGAAACTTTTCTTTGACTTGCTTCTTAACTTCTAGACTTGACTCTTAACTTCTTTAACTTTGATCATAACTTTCCTTGAATTGGATTATGGATTCAAGGTTCATGATCTCATGTTTATGGATGATTTCATGATGGTTAGATGTACCTTAGAGTGTTAGAATCAACTAGGAAACATAGGTACATCACTTAGAAACTACACTACACCATTTTAGGCTTACGACCACACTAATTCTGGACAACGCTTGTAAAGTGTTGCCTAAAATATTTTTGGCTACACTTTTAAAGCGTAGCCCAAGTTTTTGACTTTTGGCTTCGATAATATTGGCAACACTTGTAAAGCGTACTCTTTAATGGTATAAGCTACACTTTATAAGCGTTGTTACATTATGATAGAATTAGCAACAAGTATTTACATATATGGCAACACTTTTAAAATATGCTATTTTTATAATTGTAAAAACAACACATTACAAGTGTGACCTTAAACTTTTCACTAAAATAATATATTCCCTCCAACATTTTCAAGATCCCGCTAACATTTTTATTTGGGAAAGCAAAATAAGTCATAAAACATAAGATTCCAAGGTCCAAATCTGAAATTTTTTGAAGAAACAACACTCAGCTCAGCTCATTGAAGCTCCAAATCTGATTTTTTTCACAAAGCAAAACTACAAATTTTTGTCAGGTATTGCTTCATCAATGAATATAGTCTACAAATTTTTGTCAAAGTGAATTGAAGAATGGTTTCAAAATTTGTTGTTCATCTCAGAAATCCCTGATGATTTTTTGATTTTTTCTTCAATAATAGAACAAACGCTTCAGTTAAGAAGATGATTTCTCGAAGATTCATCACATTGAAAGGATTTTGTTGGAATAGAGTTTATCAGGTAAAAAATTTATCTTTAAAAGTCAAAATTTATGGGTTTTGGGTTTATTGCTTGCGTGTGGTTTCATCTTTAGCTTTAGGGTTTTGATATTCTTCTCTTTGTTGATACGATTTTTTATTTATTTTTGGGAGTATAGGTCAACTGGGAATGCTGTCGGCCGTCCCTCTTCTTCGAATGCCTTAACGCCGATCAAAATTGACGGATGGGAGGAGGATGTTTTTCTGTCCCGATCCAAGCTTTTGCATCGAGTGGAAGTTTCCAAAAGGAGGAATCGACGGACAAAGCAACTCCATCGTATATACAGAGATTGTTACTGGTCATTAATGGATGAAGTAAAGCTCAAGCATAGAGAGTATTGCTGGAAGTTTGGAATGAGTGTTTTTCAGGAAGATGAGGATAAGAGTAATAAGGTTGCTACTCTAGAAACTGGAGAGAACAACGGGAATGCGGTTATCAGTAATACTTGTGGGGTTCATGGTTGTAAGTCGAAAGCAATGTCGCTTATGAGGTTCTGTCATATGCATATATTATCAGATTCCAAGCAGAAGCTGTATAAGGCTTGCAGTTTTGCCATCACAAGATATTTTTCTTTTCTTCACATTTCATACATTTATGACTTAGTATTTTGCACAGTTCTAAGCTTTATGAAAAAATATAACTTTTCGTATGTCTGTGACTCTCAATTCGATATGATTATCCTGTCTTAGAATATCCAGCACTACATGTTTTACCCTTGCTATTAGGTTGTCCTGATTCCTGAGTATAGTCACTATGCAAAATCTACAGACTATAGAAAAGGTATTGTGTGGGTATGCACACATGAACTATCTTGCTTGGAGTGTAATTTTTGTCTAAAAGATGCGTCCTTTTCTGAATTGTTTCTGAAGCAGAATGTATATGCCTGCGCCTAATTTGCTTTATTGTTTGGTATAAAGCTGGTTATTTTGCTAACGTATAAAAAAAGGGTCTCATCCTTTTTCCTCAAAAGGAACTTTGCCAATTAACTTCAAGTTCTTGTTGTTCTTTTTTCATTTTCCTATTTTGTTAAGGTTCTTTAGTTTTTCTGGAGTCTTTTGTGAAGATTTCCTGATACATTTTACCCTTGTGCAAAGATTGCTCTTGCACCTAGCAAGAAGAAAATGTGTGTATGTGTGAGAGTATGGTTCTGGAAGGCTGTAAGCTAAAGTAAAAGCAGTATAGGTGGTTGGCTTCACTTATGTTCTGATTGCCTTTACGAGTAAGATTAGGTTGTATGGTGGGTGTATTTCATTTTAATGCTTTATGATCATTGGACTTCACTTCCCAAGCAACTACGCTTTATTTTGAATTGTACCTTGTAATTGTTAACTTTCTAACCTCATGGTATAGTGCCTGTGGGATCTAGTTTTGATTCCTACCGTTTATCTTTTCCTGCTCTTCAGAATTACGTAACTACCTTCTTGTTATTCATTTTTTTCCGGCCCATTTACGCTTAAACATTCCCCAAGATATTAACCATCAACATTTCCCACTAGGCTTCTCTGTAGGACTTCGTTTTGTGTGTTTGAGTTGTCATTAATGTAGATAATTTCGTTTGCCTTCATTAAAGTAGTTGTTGTAGCACTTTTTTATTGTAGCTATTGTGCGAGGTGAAGTGGAGCAGAAGTAAAACTGGTCATCTGGGTTATCCCAAACCTAGCAACAACTTCTCTACTGTCAAGTTACAGCTGTCGTTTAATGCATGTGACGTACAAGAATTTAAAGGATTTTACTGTTATCCAGCTAAATCAGAGGCCGAGTATTCTGTTGTGGCTAGACGAGACAAATGTTGTGGCTAGACATAGGTGTATTCTCGAGTGCTGACATATTCATAAATTTACGGCTTATTTTGGAGTGCTGATACAACTATAGTGCACAGTTTGAACCTCCTGTTCATATGTTAATTGTTCTTTATGCATATTGTAGGAAGATGAACGGATAGGAACAAATCTGCTTGCACTGCTGAATAAAATAGCAGACTTGCCAAGGGGATAACTATAATAATAGCCAATGCAGGGAGAGGAACTTCTTAGCTCATCAACCAATTTTGCTGGATTGGGTCTCCAAATCTTTCAGAGGAGAAGTAGTGAACAGGTGCACTCAACTGATGCCATTGTTATCTTCATTTGTCTACATTTCGACTGTCTTTCGTTCTCATCCTTAAAACATAAAAGGGTTTATTTCTTGTTTGTAGAGTTTGTTAATGATCTTTGGTGATAAGTTAATTTCTTGATGGTGGAGTTGTTAATACTGTTTAGTGCTAATGCATTTTGTTTCAATTTGGTAGTAAATTAACAGATAAGATAGCTGCTACTTTCTCTAGGTCTCTTGGAGTTTCAACTGATTTTACAACATACCTGCTACATGAAGATTTATATTTTTTATATATCGATATACAGAGGCTTCAAATATGGGAACTATAGTCCTTCTACCTCGTGCCTCACCTTGCAAAGATCATGCATCTTTTCCTTCTTCATTGCAGTGGTGGCTGCAAACATTGTTTTCTACTTTGGATACAAGTCTTCATTTTGCATTATGTTCTTGAAATGTTGGATGTAGAATTAGAGCTTTCACTAATATATTTCCTAGTAACTTCATGTGTATAAGTTGCCTAAGGAACTGCATGTCTTAATGTTTGCATTCGATTCTCTTAGTCTGTGTATAAATTGCCTAAGGAACTTCATGTCCTAGCTTTCACTTATTGATTTTGGACATCATTCTGGATCAGAAGTTCTGTTTCTGTAATTTAATCATGTCTCTATTTTTTTTAGTCCCTCATTTATGTACCTAATTTTCCTTCACAAGAGAGCTCGACTGATATATCTGACAAGTGTGAGAATGTTCTCAGTCGACTATCAGAAAAACATGGATGCAAAGTATGCCTATTTCTATTATTACATTCTCCATTGTTGTATCTTGGACTTTGGCTGGTGTATCTTCTAGCTTTGGTTTAGAATTGTTGGAAAAATCAGCGTCAATATTGTGAGTATTTATCATTCTACAAGATTGTTAGTACATCCAATATTTCTCTTTGTTATCTGTTTTCTTCTTATTTTTCTGTTACCAAGATTGACATATGATACTCGTACAGATCTGGCATTTTTTCGTTCATTTACTGCAACAGACTATGTTGCTGCTCAGCGGCTTAGGTGAGACATGGTGTTTCTTAAGCTACCTACACTAAATCAATCTAACCTAGTCATGAATTTCTTTTAGACTCCATCTGAGAACTGATCTGATGTTATTGTTGTCATCTATACTGATTATATGCTCAAGGTGGTTTCTTAATTCTTTTCAACTTCTTCCTCTTGAAATTTTTCATTCCCAGCTGCTCCAAAATGTAGCTTCCTTTCACTGCTGCTGCTAGTTGATTATATGTGTAGAAGTGTTGAGTAATGTCTGATGTATGACTCAATTTCGAAAGGTAATCAACAGAAAAATCT